CACTGTTTTATGTGGAGCCGGTCTCTGCACCACAATTTACTTGTGAGACGTGCAACACGGTACGTCTTCACCAGTTGCAGTATTTTAGCACGCAACAATCCACGGGTACCTTACGTGCTTTGTGGGTCTGTGCCATTTTTGGATGTCCTTACGACTGAATATCGGCCATGTAGACTGGTGCATCGCTGCCACCCTTGACTGACGCTTTGTGTGCACCACTTGGCGTGAGCGTGTCGCGGTCCCCTGGCTGTCGCTCCATCGCTCCGTCGCTCTGTCGCTCCGTGGCTGTCGCATGTCAGTTGAACCCCAAGCAGCCGCCGTCTACCGCGGCTGTGCCCGGTGGGCAGGTATTGTCGCTCGACACGCTGAAACAGCATTCGCCGAAGCCGCACGGCGACAGCCCGGAGGCGCAGCCAGGCTGCACCGCAGCAAAAGCAACCCCTTCAGTGGGCACTGGAGTCGGAGGAGGAGGGAGGTAGTACGGCCTCACGTTAGAGATGGTGATGCTGATGCTGATATGCGGCTGGCCGCCATCAGAGGCATTGCTGCTCTCTTGGGTCTTGTCGTGAGGAATCATCACGTTGATGTTTATGGAGTAGCTGGGCGCTGTGTCTAGGTCAGGTGCCGCGGGCCGCGGCATCCCGTGTGCCAGACCCAACACCTGGAACAGGTCAACGACGCCGTCAGATCCAAGAGCCGGCAGTTTTCCGACATTGTGCGCACCGCGGCGTGCAGGGAATAAAGTGTGAAGCCTTGTTATGGACATTGTCATTGGCGAAAGCTACCCCAACGCACTGTTGTGCTATAAGCCCATGGTCAGCGCGGCTGGATAATGGGTCGGACCCCGGGGCTACTAACCCGTGTGTGATGAGAGTGGTGGCTCCACTCCACACAGTGATCATGCGGCGTAGATGTGTCATGAGTCTGGGCCAGGAAAGTCCCGAGCGGTGCCCCCCCCCCCCCCCCCTGAGTGAACTGACCGCTTCAGCTACACGGGACCAGCCGGCCTCCCCGTCTCTGCCTTTCCAGCAGTGGTCAGCCTCACCCCGGCGTCCCCTCCCCCCCCCTCCCCCTCCCCATGCGGTACAGCGGCTGTGCACTGCGCCGTCAGCGGAGGGGCACTCGATTCATGATTTCCCTGTTGTCAAGACAAATATTCCTTCATTTTCAAACTTTGGCCTCATGCAAACTAGGTGTTTGAAGCCCTTCAGAAAGACCACGGATATCGATGACGCATGATTCATTTATCGATGACGGCATGCATCAACACCTCAGCGACCACCGGACAAAGAGGTCGGGTGCTCTCAAAGAAAATAACGCGTGGCGGATGGCCGGCAACCTATATTTTCGGATTTGTTGAAATATGCAAGCAGGATCTAGAATGGCTATAAAACGGCTGGTTGGTGTAGTTCCTGAGAACTCGCAGTAAAGCAGTGTTGCACCAACCCAGGGATACACGTTCTAGGCATTGCCAAGGAAATGACATTATCGAAGTGTTTCCGGCACAGTTAAACCTGTTTTCGCAGATACCAACCGGTTTTGCATGGCTTCGATGTAAACAAAGGATATTTTTTGAAAGGTGAACTATTCTGTCTGCTACCATGTTGAAACTTGTCCCCAAAAAATCACAAATACACATTGTGTTGTCAGTTCCTGAGACCAAACTGGTGACGTACTTTGCGTAGATTCCGAGTTATAGCGCCAGTAAAGGCTGCCTAGTATTCTGACTACCTCGTATTAACTTCTCTCATCAATTGCGGGTTGGTTTTGGATCTGATCCTTATCTGCCAGCAGTCGCCAGTCCAGGACTGAGGGTTTAAAGAGGAAAGTGAGCGATGGGGCAATGCTGCAAACATCGTGGGAGACCCCCGACGCAGCCCGCACACGGGCGTTCTCTGGGGATTGTCGGGGTGTTCGGACGGAGCCCCCGCTGGGCCGACCGTGAAGCCAGCTTATAGTTAACGGTCGGAGCTTACCCGTTGTTGCAACGATGTCCGAAGGTTGCAAGGATTTGGGACCAAGCGGTGATTTTAGAACGCATTTGGCAGTGGCGTTTGGCCAGATCTTAAATAGCTATCAGCTCAGTTGATTTCAAAGTGGGTACAGAATGATGGAGTACTAGTTAAATGATGATGGGCTTCTTGGCCGAATAATGCGTCACTAGATCGAAAGTGAAGGCATGCAAGACACAATGGAATGCCATAAAACGAAATGGGCAGAACGCTTTGCATCGTACACCGATATCTGGGGATATTTTTCCCAGCTGCGAGTGCCCCGAAGTACCACAGCACGCTCTCACGTCATGAAAGACGCCTCAGGCACCCATGAAAGAATCTTCACTTTCCGTCAAGAAACACGCATTCCTCTTCTCTTTGACCCCCACGTATGAGAATATAGTTGAGCGTTCAAACAAGCCTTTCTTGTGCCGCCTCTAATGTGCTCTATGTAGTAATGTACTAATGTGCTCTTGTGGCACACCCCACGACGGTAATGTACAGGAATGTGTCATTTGGAGTAACGATCCGTTATATGATGAAATATCACAAACTGGCCAAGTATTCCGTGGCCGCAGTTATTACCATTATCTGATCGTTAGCTCGTTGTACAGAAGGGTACCTAAAGGCTGGTGTCGGGTATTCTCTGATTAAACGGGCACATGTCACGTAATGTAGGATGCTCCGAGACCACAGTGACTACAACCGCGCTTGTGACGGAATGTGTCCGCACTGTTGACGTTCCGACTGAAATAGGATATTGTGACCAAAATCATTACACATTGCCCAAGCGCCTCACAGATGGGTACAGCTTACCTGCAGGAGAATGCCGGCGGTGCACACTGAGCTGATCATGGCCGCGCACTGACGGGAGGTCTCGGACGGCTGCTGGGCGCCTGCAGGCGGCTGCAGCTGGCAGGAGATTGCACTGTGCGCAGCGGGTGTGCACAGATAATCCTTCCGCAGCAGCTCAGTGGGCAAGCTTAAGATCAGCACAAGGCCGGCTGATGTAAAGCGGATTTTGCCGAGTAACCGGAATTGGTGTCGATGACGAGTTGAATTTTTGAAAAGCTAATAATGCCGTGTAACTTGACTCGTTCAATCGACCGGCTGTAATTAGCAAAAACAGTGCCGATTTTCGATTATTGATTGTGACCCGAGGTGCAAAAAGACCATTTTATGCAGAGTGATACGGCCTGACATCTAGAGACAAGCTGCTAATATAAGAATTGTAAACCCTTGCACTATCAAGATGTATCTATGTTAAATAAAACTGAACTGCACGACCTTCGCAACGGAAGTAGATTGACTGCACGGTCACAGCAGTGAACAGTGAAGAAAGTATCGCGCCAAACGCTTTGCCACGGCCGGTGCCAGCGGCCACTCTTTCGGTAAGGTGAGGTGAGAGGGGCTGACCTGATTGCTCACTGTTCGGCGTGATTGGGCCAGGCAGAGCATTACGGCATGTTACGCTCTCTCGAAAGTTCTGCCTTGACCCGGAATTTTATGTCCGGATGGTGGGATCAAGGATCACGTAACAACCAGCCCGGAGCGTGGATGCTCAGCCGAGAAATTCATCCATTTAAAAGATTCAGTCGGAGTCTTTGAAAAAGGTGGCGCCCGCCACACAATAACGTAATGCAGCTAGACACACGCCAATGCTAGACAGAAAGCCGTGATATCACAATGCGGGGAGATTGGTGTGTGTGTGTGTGTGTGTGTGTGTGTGTGTGTGTGTGCGTGCGTGCGTGCGTGCGTGCGTGCGTGCGTGCGTGCGTGTGTGCGTGTGTGTGCGTGTGTGTGTGTGTGTGTGTGTGTGTGTGTGTGTGTGTGTGTGTGTGTGTGTGTGTGTGTGTGTGTGTGTGTGTGTGTCTGATGATTCCCAGTTGTGCAGGCGCAATGATGCTAAACGTGCGAGGGGCACTCGGAACACTGAGATAGGTCTCCCGATTGGGACGCCAAATCTCGGTTTGACAATACACCAGTGTCGGGCTCGCAAAGTCATAAGAGGAACCAACAGACTCTCTATGTGAGGCTATACCGTTTATACAGGGTGACCTGAATACATGTTCGCCCATGATGTATTCAGCTCTTGACAGTGCCGGAGTCGAACTCAGTGTCGAAGTCGAGTCTCGACTTGCGAGTCGAAGTGTGTTTATCAAGCGTCTTGGTTCCCTTTGTTCCCTTGCTCTCTGTCTTTCCATCGCTTTTTTATTTTCCCTTTTTTTCTCTTTTTCCCGGAGCATCACGATATGTCTCTTACCCAGTCCTTCACTACTGATGGTGCGGTCTGTAGCGCAGCCCCCGTGCTGCGGCTCATCCAGAACATCCTGTTGCCGACGGGATGGCTTACGCCCGCTGCTTCGTCCGTTGATATGATCAACCAGAGAGAAATGCGTTGTGCCTGAAGAGCACACAAATGCTGTGATGTACACAGACTACGCAGAGCTCATTCAAACGCCTCACGTGATCTACCCTTTGCGACGCGCCCTGTGTCGTGGCAATGTTATGTTCGACACACATGTTGTAGAGCCTAAAATTAACGTGAGTTTTTTTTTTAAAATTGCGCATGCAAGGCATGTCTGTGCTGGCTCCTTTCGAACAATCTGTCACCCTCGACTGTTCCAATTTATTAGGTTTGTAGCATTTTGCCCATCAAGAGACTAACCAAATATCCAGGAGGCCTAGATGCGTGCTGTTGCTGTCTCGTTTTGAAACATGCCGCTCATTTGCTCCGCGTACCAACCACAGGCTTAGTATACCAGTAAAAATGCTTTATTTGTCCTCCTCGGCTGTAGTGAAACACTTAAACACCAGAATTGCTGCCATGTCAATGCCCGGACCTCGTTTAGACAGCACGAGAGATGTACTTAAGCTGTGAACTGTGCGCATTCTGTGAAGAAAGGCTGTTGGTGTTGAGATTCACAGTCACTTTGCTTAAACTATAATTATTTTTAAAAAGCCCTTTTCATGTTGTGAAGCGCCGGGTGGTGGTGCAGGGGCGATATGGGGACGGCGATGATGTGCCAGCGATGTGGGGACGGCGATGATGTGCCAGCGATGTGGGGACGGCGCTGATGTGCCAGCGATGTGGGGACGGCGCTGATGTGCCAGCGATGTGGGGACGGCGCTGATGTGCCAGCGATGTGGGGACGGCGCTGATGTGCCGGCGGTGCGGGGACGGCGATGATGTGCCAGCGATGTGGGGACGGCGCCCGGCCAGTCACCATGGTTACAGATGTAATCGGTGGTCACCGACGACTGGTTGGCGAGTGCCGCCGACGGACGTAGCCGGCCTTCACTGCCTACTGATCACCGACACTGTACTGAGCTGACGGGTCCTGGCCCTTGCCGTCTGGGGCCATTCATCCATTGCTGTCAATGATATGATGCAGCAACATTGATACTTAAGCAGTGGGATGCGTAGAAGAGAAGATCCACCTTTTTACAAATTCTGTAATTTAGACTGGTTTTGTTTTCGATGGGCCGGTGGTGATTCTACGGCCAGAGAGCAAAGCTGACCCATCGGCCGACTTATATGGAATAATTACGACCGCTATTCACGATCACTACGTTCGTGTGCGCATCAACTATTGTCCAATATCGGTTATCCAGAGAGCTATGAGACTTTTCTCTCATAGCTCATCCATGTGGCCATGACAACGTCGCGAGATGGAAGCGTGCCAGTTTCGTGAAAGCGTAAGCCCAAGAGTATTGTAATCCGATTACTGAGGCGCCGCGATGTTATCGGCCGCCGACTGTTGACGATAAGTGGCTGAATTTTTTGGCATTTTTATGGATGATTGCGCGCGCGGACGCCGCCGGGCAAAAGCTCAATTTGAGAGTTCTTGCGCGCGGCACCGACGTCGGTGCATTATGATTATCTGGGCGGTGCGCGTTACAAAAGGCGCCGGCCCTATCGCCGGCCGGCATCGGTTGTGCGTCCGGGCGGTCCGTGTCATCTGCATACCGCACGGGCCGGCGGCCGCCTCCCGGCCTGCTGGCCGCCACGCATCGGCCGGAATGCGGGTTGGCGCGGCCAGCGCGCGGCCAGTCGGCCGCCGACCACGTGCCGCCCGTCGGGTCGGGTCGGGCCAGGCTAGGCCAGGTCAGGTCAGGTCAGGTCAGGTCAGGTCAGGCCAGGTCAGGCCAGGTCAGGTCGGGTCGGTTTGGGTCGGACCAGGCCAGGTCAGGTCAGGTCAGGCCAAGCCAGGCCAGGTCGGGTCGGTTTGGGTCGGACTAGGCCGGGTCAGGTCGGGTCGATTTGGGTCGGACCTGGCCAGGCCAGGTCGGGTCGGCTTGGGTCGGACCAGGCCAGGTCAGGTCAGGTCAGGCCAAGCCAGGCCAGGTCGGGTCGGTTTGGGTCGGACCAGGCCAGGTCAGACCGACTCGAGGCGGTTTGGGTCGGACCAGGCCAGGTCAGACCGGCTCGGGGCGGGTCGGGTCAATCTGCGACACCGCCCGCCCGCAGGCAGGCGGCACATCGGACGGCGTGATGAGGATTGGCGGCTGTGGAGGCATCAGCCCTTGTCGTCGTCGACGGAGACATGGCCGACAATGTAGTCACGCAGCTCAAGTCATAGTGAGCGAACTGGGTCGGTGCTCTGAGACTCAGTAACGTGCAAATGCTGCACAGCTATGTGAACCATGTTCTTGGTCAGTAAGAAGGCAGAAGTAAGACGATTAGTAGAGGGTGGTAAGAGGATTAAAAGGGGACATCGTCTATTTGTCACGCCGAATACATCCGTCCCTACCGTTACTATTCGTCCTCATGGGTTGAATAGCGTGGAGCTAGCCAAATATTTGTGAACGCTGCGAGTGCGTATGCTCATTCCGTACCCACACTTGGCTGCGGTTTCTCAACTGCGCAGATTGCTGAGATCTGACGAAGACCAGCGGATCCAAGGTTTGCGCTCGAGCGCTTGTGACCTGTTCACACATCTATGCCGCCCATCTGTGACGGCATGATTGCTCTTTTTTCTCTCTCCGACAATCCTGTCTTTGTTCTCTCTCCGTCAATCCTGTCTCGGGTCACTTGCAGTTCGCATTCTGGAAATGTTTGGCAACTTTCAAATGCTACTTGGGATGTCAGGCAGTTGCGTGCACTAAAAAGTGCTGGTTTTATTTCTCATAAAACAGGCAAAATGTTTAATTCCCAGGAGCGGCTTTAGGCCCGCAGCGATACCAAACAGCTCACAAATTGTCACTTAAGCTCTGTCTGGCCGCAATGCCACGGACGAAGACACCATCATGACAGCTCCATTACAGCCTTCTCGGCTGTCAGGATATCCATGTCATTGCCCGTAGTTTAGCAGAATTATTGCGGCGTAAAAAGAAAAAAACTGACAACATAAAGCAGTCGCGGGGTATGCTGAAACTGTACCTATGCAGGTATTAACTAAAAAATATTGCTCCTGACACAAAAACAACAAAATGATTGGTAACCGTGATGTTGCAGGAAAACAGTATCATTTCAAGTAGTTTGCACGTGACATGGAAATAGTTTGGCGCGTCTTTAAAAGAGCTATTCTTCTTTTTGCAGACATCCGCATGGAGTTGCAACCAGTGGTTTCAAAGCTTCTGGCTTGAAAATGGACCGACGGTCGAGCTGGGCAGGTCGACTGTTCAACTTGAAAGCATGTTCCAGATGAGACTGCTAAGAAATGCCTGTTGCTAACCAATCTCGTTGAGTGAATTAATTCCTTTGGAACATCTCGTTGCCGGAAATTTGCAGTCAAACCCTGACTGGGTAGTGGTAATGTTAGCAAATGGGTACATAACGATCACTGCGAACAGAATATTTCCCATGTTTTCGATCAAATATTCTTATTCACGTCTTTCGATCCCGTAGCGTACCGAATGTTGATCTAGATGGTATGTCGACGGGCGAATAACTTCCGTGAGATTCCGTCTCGATCTGCTTACTACACGTTCCGTCAGAGCTCCTTTAGGCATTCTTTATAGGCTCCATGTTTTGCACTGCTCAGCTCACGGACTCATACCCTCGCTAAACACGTACGCACGCACGGACGCACGCACGCACGGCCGCAAGCACTGGGTATCGCGGTGTCCGGTGAGGTAGTGGGTGACGTGCTGCAGTGTCCGGTGCCAGGTGACGTGCTGCAGTGTCCGGTCCCATGTGACGTGCTGCAGTGTCCGGTGCCAGGTGACGTGCTGCAGTGTCCGGTGCCAGGTGACGTGCTGCAGTGTCCGGTCTCAGGTGACGTGCTGCAGTGTCCGGTCCCATGTGACGTGCTGCAGTGTCCGGTGCCAGGTGACGTGCTACAGTGTCCGGTCTCAGGTGACCTGCAGCAGTGTCCGGTGCCAGGTGACCTGCTGCAGTGTCCGGTGCCAGGTGACGTGCCGCAGTGTCCGGTCTCAGGTGACGTGCTGCAGTGTCCGGTGCCAGGTGACCTGCTGCAGTGTCCGGTCCCAGCTGACGTGCTACAGTGTCCGGTCCTCAGTAACATCTGTTGTGTCCGCTTCAGGCCCGAAGAAAGAAGGCGTCCAGAAGCGGCGGCTGGGCCGCAACCCTCGCATCCCCTTCTCCACGCACCAGATCGCCCTCCTCGAGCACAAGTTTCGCCACAAGCAGTACCTGAGCAGCTATGACGTCACAGAGCTGGCCTCGCTCCTCTGCCTCTCACAGACTCGGGTAAGCACCACCTCTGGAGGAGTACACGCTTCTCTTACGAGCCCGGGTAAGCACCACCTCTGGAGGAGGACACACGCATCTTATATGCCTGGGTAAGCACCATCTCTCGAAGAGGACAATCCTCTTACAGGCCCGGGCAAGCACCAGTGCTCAAGGGGAATTCGCTGCTCTTGCGGACTCGGCAGCCCTAAACCAGGGCTCACTCTTCTCGCGGGACGTGCTGTGTCCCGATTTAGGAGGAAGTCTCACTCTTCCCACAGACGCAGTCAGGTACCAGCTGTGGGGGATTTGCTGCTCCCACAGATCCGAGGAAGCGTTAGCTATTCTAAAAAATCATTCAATCCTAAGTGGGGTGGCTGATAATTTTTGTCAGCAAGTGAATCAATAGCTGCAAAATAATCCATAAATATCTGACTGCCTGTGTTGACTGGATGCGTTTCGCTTCGGTATCTATGTCAACATGCCTTGCTGCCATCCCTATGGCAAAGGGAATGCTGGTAAAAAGCGAGCCGCCTGGAAAGTCCATGACACACTTCCAAACGCACATGCCAGTCGTCCCAAACCGACGGCGACGAGTTTGTCAAGCGTGCTTAGCCATCACCAATGAATTCCTGAGTCCCAAATAATATCCCTGGTGCATCATGAGACCTTTTAGCTCGGAAAGGTTTGGAACTACTGGCATACTTATGTTTCTTTTTTATACATCCCGGTTCATATGGTGCTCCGATGATAATGGCCGTGGTTCTAGTGCGAAATATTTGAGGGTCGTCATTCCCCGAGGTAAGCTGTTAGTCCTATAGATGACGAGGGCTGATCGATAACAGGCCCATTACCAGGCGGTCCTTCCGCCCTGAACGAGGCCCTGGTCAGGACCGGCGCGCCCATTCAGAGCCGGCCGTCGTCAGCTTTGTCCGCGCGTGGCAGCTTTCATCGGGCTTCTCAGCTGTGGACCAGCCACATTCCGCGCGCTCTATCGGCATCTGGATCACACGCGGAGCGGCCGGGCCGGCCCTCCTTTTGCATGAGCTGTCCGAGCGGCCGCTCGAGCCGCCGCCGGTCGGGCGCGGGCCGCCTCGTCGACGGATCCCCGACCGCCTGCCGCTTTGTCTCGGGGGTGCACGTCCCATTGGCCGCCGCCTGTAATTTTATAGGGGGATTATCGTCTTGTTTATAGTACATTAGAGCTGTTGATGTTGTAGGTGAACGCGGGCTGGTGTGTCAATGCGGGTTTATTTATGGCGCTAACGGCTGATTAGCCGGCAACAGAGGGATGGGAGCGAGAGCGCAGCCTCGGCCGGGGGGCCGAGCTCGCCCCAGCTGGCCACTCCACAATAACAATGTGGCCCCGGCGTGGCGCGGCGCGCGGCAGAGGCGCCGCCAGGTCCAGCCCGCGTGGGGAGACCCGTCAGCAGGCTCTGACACAGCCCGGCGTGGACCGGTGGCGCAGCGGCGTGCCACACCGGACGCGTGCGGCCGCTCAACCGACAACTGTCATGGGTTTCCCCCGAGCGTGATTTGCTGCATCCGCCACTGGTCGCCAGGTGACCAGAGCTGTCCAGCTTCTGGTTCACCGGCTCCGGCTGCCTCGCTTTGTGGGTCCTTTCAGTCTGTGTTGCGGTCGACTACTCACGCGACGGCGCTGGCCAAAACCTATTAAAGTTACGTCTACCTGCTCGGGTGCTCACGCAGCCCGCATTACTCAGATAAGGATTTTTTGGCGGGAGGACACAAAATGGTCACAGCAAGTCGAAGCGCCCCTTAACCCAAAATCATCGGGTGCCTAAGAAAAGAAGACGAACATGACTTACCAAAATGAGCGTTGAACATTACGTTTCGTGGCGCGAATGCTCGTGAGTGGTTACTGTACATATTGACAGTTGGTGGTGCTTCTCATTTTAGACATTCCTGCTTAACGTAAGCTACGTGATTCATTTAAGGGAATGCTCCACATTTGAAGGTGCTGAAGCAAGCATCAGATATAACGAAACAAGCTCACTTATAGCTATAGGTGTAGTTTTAAGTGTAAAAGACTGCTCTATACAGTACAATGTCTTTACTCCACTGTTTCTCTATCTCTCTCTTTCTTCCTATGCTCATCAATACGTCATTGTGTGATTGCGTCATGAAGCGTGTGCATGACGTTGAGGTGCTGCAAAGCTGGACGTGGGAAACTGCCATCTTAGCACTCACTTGTAGTACTTCGATCTCTTGAGATGTGGCCGTGGAGGTGCTGGAGGTGTTTGCTGAATCAAATATTGTTATGTGCTCGTGTTTTGGCCTTTTCTCGTGGTGTTATTCCATATTTATCCGGGAGGTTAAGGAGTTTCCTTGAATTCACATGCTCGGTTACGGCGGTATTCTTAACTTATTCGATAACAAGTCTTATTTGCAAAGTAGCAAGCACCCGTGTCAACTCTTTATATCATGTAGCACGAAGCGTGATCTGTGATTGAAGCCAGCACTGGCTGCACAACATTGTTTAAGGGCCAATTGGCCGCTGTGGTATCTGGGAGCCGTGTTCACGCAACGATATGTGAACAACTCGACGATTATGTTGTTTTTGGCCTTGATTCGCCGCATGGCCAATAGGGCGGAAAAATTTGTATGACGTTTCTGTGGTGCCATGCGTGACTGGATGACCTTGAAATAGTCTGCACGAAACAGTTTGCACAGCTTCGCGGGCGTGTAGCTTAGGAACTAGAGGGCTTCAGGCCTTACGAAGGGCAGGACTGTGAACTGCACAGAATAATCTTCAAGATAGCTATTTTAGTTCAAAGCCCTTACAGATGCCAAGTACTCCCTTTAGAATTCGCCACGGGTTCAGACGCCACGAGGTGCATCTGTAACACTGCCTACCATGCGGATACCGATCCAGAAGTTTTGATGTGACCCGAACCGTCACTAACACCGCCTGTGCGCCTCCAGGTGAAGATCTGGTTCCAGAACCGTCGCGCGCGGGAGCGCAGGGACCACGAGTCGCGCTGCCGCACCGAGCTGCCCTCCACACTGTCAGCGTTCCGGCCGGTGGTGGCGGCGGCCGCCTCTCCCGCGGAGCTGCCGCCTCCAGACGCTGACCGTCACGAGGGCTCAGCAGCGGCCGCGGAGAGGCTGCAGCCCTGAGACGGTCAAGAGGGCTTAGCAGCGGCCGCGGAAAGGCTACAGCCCTGCAGCCGGCTCCGATGGGAGCGGTCAGCGGCGCTGAGGCCGGTGTCAGGGGTCCTGTCAGCCGAGCCGCCGTCGAGACAGCGGAGGCGCGGTGACAGCCAACCTCGGCTCGGCTGGCCGGCTCTGAGGACGGCCAGCCTCGGCTCGGCCGACGGCCTCTGAGGACGGCCAGCCTCGGCTCGGCTGGCGGCCTCTGAGGACGGCCAACCCCGGCTCGGCTGGCGGCCTCTGAGGACGGCCAACCTCGGCTCGGCTGGCGGCCTCTGAGGACGGCCAGCCTCGGCTCGGCCGACGGCCTCTGAGGACGGCCAGCCTCGGCTCGGCTGGCGGCCTCTGAGGACGGCCAACCCCGGCTCGGCTGGCGGCCTCTGAGGACGGCCAGCCTCGGCTCGGCTGGCGGCCTCTGAGGACGGCCAGCCTCGGCTCGGCTGGCGGCCTCTGAGGACGGCCAACCCCGGCTCCGCTGGCGGCCTCTGAGGACGGCCAGCCTCGGCTCGGCTGGCGGCCTCTGAGGACGGCCAGCCTCGGCTCGGCTGGCCGCTTCTGAGGACGGCCAGCCCCGGCTCGGCTGGCGCCCTCTGAGCTGGTCGCTGAGAGGCTCCGTGGCCGCTGCCAGTCACACTCGTTGTTGACCGCTGTTTTAATGTGCGGAGAGTGAGAGCCATGTGCTGCTTATCAGTGCGCCAGTCTGCACGCATACAGAAGGGCGTCACAGATACGTGTTACCTCAGGCTTATCTGTCCTCGGTCGACGGGCGTTTTGCGTCGCGACAACTATCACAGAGACTCCCATCACGGTGTGATGAATACTCAGCAGCGCGGGGCATCACGCTCCAGGTCGGCAGGTCTGTCGCGACGCGTGGGCGCATGGCCACCCTGAGCACCAGCCGCGCCGTTTTGAGCGGGCTGCTGACAGGGACACCGCGCGCCGCGACCCGGCCGGCTCTCCAGCACGGGGAAGCGAGGCGTGTGTCGCTCTGACAGGCGGTCTCTGCCGTCGGTCCGCCGTCGCGCCTGGCAGCCGGCCCTAGGTTGTGTTCGCACCCAGGTACCGGTGATAGGGCCATTGGTTGTTATGGCATGAACATATAATACAAGAACAATGAAATGTATTTTTGAAGGCATCCAAGGTGACAAGCCAATTGCCTGATTTTTCCGACAACGCAAATCCACTTTTCCAGCTTTTGTTATTGAAAGCTTCGGCTCTCAACGCATTTGAACCCTGTGCATTCAAGACCGCAACGCGTGTAAGCGGGTATGGAGACGGCAGTTGGGTCTCATCACGGCTTTATTGTCACCCATGCGGCCAGACATGACCGAGGTCTGCTATCTCCGTAAACGACTGACTGTCAAGACGACGCAGGCATATGGAATAGTCAGCCAGTTCTAAAATTCAGCCCAACATTTTCCGTGCTGAACTATTCCTGCAATCGCAATCTGAACGAGATGAAAAAGTGTAACACGCCAGCAGGACTGTGGCCCCGGCGCGCGCCAGTCATGCGACCTTCCACACGCAGAATGAGGCTTACAGCAATACCCACACGATCGACACCATTCGCGGTGCAACACGTACAACAGGTGATTAAGCATTCCATCTTTTTGCTAGGGGACTGTGTCAAACTAAACTCTTACAAATATCTGAGCGTATCTCAGAAGGCACCTCGTGAAGTCCCACTTGATCTAGGTAGTGCAGGAATCGCCGCGTCCTACCGCCATCGCGCGCCCGCCGCACGCACTCGAGCCTGCACACTGTGCGGACAGATGGCAGCAAGTCCGTCGTCAGCGCCCGTCTGCTCAGCAACAGACTGGGCACGGCCGGTGCGATCCGTGTAGTCTCCGCCCAGACCGCCTCCTTGACGCCGTCCTCATCGTATCTCACCAGCTGCAGGGCGGTGGGCTCGGGTCGGCCGCAGGGGGCGAACTGTCGCCGGGCCGTCTGCAGTAGGTCAGCGCAGCGGCTGCCGGCGGCGCGCTGCCACTCAGCCGCCGCCTCGGTGCCCCGCTCGCCGGCGCGCTCCTCCAACACGGAGCGCGGCTGCTCGCTCTCGGTCATGTCGGCCACCGGCCGGCTCTGCCACCAGCTGCACATAACGTCGCGCTCGGCAGGCGCCAGCAGCGCGTCGGCGGCCGAGCGGCTCTCAAGGAGTTCTGCCAGCGCGGCCACACCGGCGCCCAGCACAGCACGCTCCTCACGGGGCATCGGCGCCACGCGCGGAGCTGGCTCCGGCTCGGCGGCCGGCTGGACCGGACTCGGCTCGGCCGGCTCCTCGTCTGAGAACAGGTCCGGGTCGACCAGACGCCAGCGGCGCCGCAGATGGCCGGCAGCAGACGCCACCGGCGCCGGCGGGCTCCAGCCGCTCTGGCGTCGCCCTGCCTGTAATGTCAGCGACGGCGGCGGCGGTGGCGCATCCCCGTCCGGCACCGGCCAGCCATCGGTGGTCGGCAGGCGTAAGCTGCTCGGCAGCTGGCCGAGCAGCGCAGCCTGGTCGGCCGGCGCAGCGGCGGCCAGCACGCGGCGCGTGTCGACCACGCCGGAGGCTGTGGCGCCCTCGCACAGCCACTGCAGCTGGAGTAGCGCGCGGCGCACGTCGCCGGCCGAGGCGGCCGCCAGCCGGGCGGCGGCCGGCGTCGGCAGCAGCCAGCCCCTGGCGAGCGCGGCCAGCGTCAGGTGGCGCTGCAGCGGGCCGGCCGGCGCCGCTGCCAGCCGGATCAGTCGGTGCGGCAGCGCGCGCAGGAGCCGGCCGCGCGCCTACCGACGGGTCGCCGCTGGTCAGCACCATCGGCCGTTTGGCGGACGAGGCCAGACCGGCGGCGGCCGCCACGAAGCCGTCGTCCAGCTGCTCGGAGGCCAGCTGGACGTCCTCCAGCAGGATGAGACTACGCGCCGAATCCGGCTGGTCGCCGGCTGGCACGTTCAGCTTGTGCGACTGGGTGGCTTCAGACAGCCGCGAGCAGAGCTGGCGGCCGGAGCGGCGGCTCGAGGTGCTCACCTCCAGCACCTGCAGTCGCGAACAGTGCGCGTCAGACGCTGACACCAAGCCGCAGCCAGGTACCAACCGCAAGGCCACACGCACGCATCCCACAGAAGAGAACAGCGTGGGGGTGACGGGCGCCAGACAACATACAGCGTCCGGCCAGCTGCTGTAACTGATACCCCGCCACAACTGCCGACATGCGGCTGGCACGTGCCGAATCCGATTGGCAGTGTTGCACACGATCCGTCTCGGTAGTTGCCTTCGTATTAGCACCCCATAACTTACTTGTACCAGAATGCGAGTAGAAAACGCCGGCCCAGCTAACATGTGGGGACCAAGGCCCCCAAACAACGAAAAAGAAAAGCCGTGCATTATTGGAATAATCACAATGATATCCCACCAGGCTTCAACAAAAATGAAACATTGAGTACCTATCGAAATAATGCTTAATGTGCTCAGTACAACAATCAGAACAGCATCGAGCGAGCTGTTTTGATCACACCCAATGATACTCGCTACACGTGGGCGCCACCCGGCGGTGGGCGTATAACACCACGATCAACAAGACGCGTCACTGGTTGGACCCGACGCGGCAGTCGCCGCACGTGTACACACCTGGAAGCCGAGCTGCGCGGCGGCGGCGTACACGGCGCTGGTCTTGCCGCAGCCGGGCGGGCCGAGCAGCAGGACGGCGCCGTCCGCCGCCGGCTCGTCGCTCAGCTCGTCCCAGTCGGCGGCCGGCGCGCGCCACTCTTCCAGCCAGGTCTGCAGAGCGTCGGCCGCCGCCGCCGCCGAGCCGACGAAGGCAGCCGGCTGGCGCGGCCGCAGCGCGCCGCTCCAGAGGGCGTCCGCGGAGCCGGCCTCTCGACAGGCGGCCAGCAGGTGGCGCAGGGCAGCCGCGTCCTCCACCCAGTTCAGAGCGGGAAGCTCGGTCGGCTGCGGCTGCGGCCGCGCTTGCCGCTGCGGCACGGTCACCGCCACACCAGCAGTTAAAGAGCACGAACTGACTGCACTGTTAGCCGTCACATGGTCGACGTCATATCACCAGGCCCCTCCGAGGCCGGCGCTGTACCAGCAGGCCCGGCCGAGGCCGGATCCGTACCAGCAGGCCCGGCCGAGGCCGGCGCCGTGCCAGCGGGCCCCTCCAAGGCCGGTTCCGTGCCAGCGGGCACCTCCAAGGCCGGTTCCGTGCCAGCGGGCCCCTCCGAGGCCGGGGACGCCAGCGGGTGAGCAGCGTCAGAGGCAGCGCACGGCTCCGTGTCGGCGCCCACGCGCGCGGCTTCAGAAGCCTCAGCTGGGAGCGTGCGGTGAGCGGCCGCACGCGCGGGAATCGGCGTCAGGCGCGTGAACACGGCCGGCACGCCGGACAGCGGCAGAGGCTCACCCCGCCATCGGAGGCCGACCAGCTCGGCGACGGCGGCCGCCGACCAGACGGCGTCAGCGTCCCGCTGCTGCACGTGACTGACATCCGGAAACAACGGCGTCAGCGACTCCTCCAGGCGTCTGATGAGCAGAGCAAACACCGGCTGTTGCACCACACGACTGACGGGATCACAAGCTGTAAGCGCTCTGGCTAATTATTCACATCAGCAAACTGTAATGCAACTGGACACAAGTCAATGGGTATGATCAGTGGATGCGACAAACTCAATGGATATGAGCAAACTGGCCAAGTCCACCGAAATTAAACTTCACAAAACGTACATCTACCTCTGACGACACCTGCCCGTTGTATATCCGAACGGAGCTCACCTAGCCACATCCGCCTGCAGTGTCAGTCGCTCGGGCACGCCGCTGGAGAGGAAGGCCCGGCGCGCCGCTGTCCGGCCAGGACTCTCGGCCGGCGCCGGCGGCGGTGGCGCCGGCGGTGTCACCGGCGCCGGCCGACCGCCGCGCCGCAGCAGCTGGAACGCGTCGACGGCGGGCCGGCCGCGAGCGGACGTGTCGCGCAGCACGACCACCTCGTCGTCAGAGCCGGCCGACCGGTCACCGGCGCTCTTCACAGATGTCACCTCCGGCCCGCTGGCGCTGGCACGCCTCCGACGGCTGGCGCGCGGCTCCCCGCGGCACGGCCTCTTGGAGGGCCTCAACTCAACCTCGCCGTCACTGGGAACCGCTGAACGGGTCCTGTGCGCGGAAAGCCTCGAGGCAGCTTGGACGGGTATGACCTCAATGTCATTCTCAGTGGGGGCCACGCGGCGGTTCTGCCGAGCTGATCTCATAACCTTTTTGACGGATGTGACCTCAATCTCGCTGTCACTGGGTACCACTCGACGGCCCTTACGCGCTGAGGACTTAACGGCCTTTTTGACGGGTGTGACCTCAATCTCGCTGTCACTGGGTACCACTCGACGGCCCTTACGCGCCGAGGACTTAACGGCCTTTTTGACAGGTGTGACCTCAATCTCGCCGTCACTGGGTACCGCTCCACGGCCCTTACGCGCCGAGGACTTAACGGCCTTTTTGACGGGTGTGATCTCAATCTCGCTGTCACTGGGTACCACTCCACGGCCCTTACGCGCCGAGGACTTAACGGCCTTTTTGACGGGTGTGACCTCAATCTCGCTGTCGCTGAGTACCACGGCACAGCGCCTACGAGCTGAGGATCTTACGGCTTTTTTGGCGGGTGTGACATCGATCTCGCTGCCGCCGGCCAATACTGGGCTGCCACTCCGAGCTAAGATCCTCCCAACCTTTTTGACGGATCTCGCGGCCTTTTTGATGGACGTGACCTGGCCCTCTCCTTCACTGGACACGGCTGGGCACCCACTTCCGTCCGCGCGGCGTCTCTGCTTCCTCACGGAAGATCTCTTCACGACTGCGGTTTGGCGGAGCTGCTGGGCGCGGCTGTGGGGCCGGCCGGCCGTGCTCGCCCCCTGCACCGCCCCTCCGGCGCGGCCCGGCCGCCTGCCCGGCGTAAACTCTCGCTCGCTGTCGCTGGTCGCGCCGGCCGGCTCCGGGCGGCTGACGGCGCGGCTCGAGCGTCGGCTTGGCGTACCGCCGCCACCGGCGCCGGCCTCCGGCTGACCGGTGCTGTTCGGCAGTCGGCTGCGAGTGGTGCCGGTGCGCTTGGGGCCGCCGACCATCGCGTTCTTCGAATGGCGAGATTTCTTTATTTGCTTCTTGGCAGATGTTGAGCTGGCACGCACTGACGCTTTGTCTCGCTTCGTGGATGCGTCAGGAGCTAACAACGCGTCGGACTTAGTCCCAATCTCTGGGTTTACCATAGGGTCGGGTTTTAAGACAGTGCCCCCTTCCACCCGGGGACCGGACTCGCCCCAGTCTCGTTTGCATCTCGTTGCTTTGGACGCTTTTGTTTTGTTTTCTTGCTTACCATTTTGCTGATGTTCCCATTCAAGGTCGCTCTCATCCAAAACCTTGGGCCGCGTTTTCCGGATCTTCTCGCATCCATTGTCGTTTGGAGGGGAGCCAGATGGCGAGAACTGACGAGGTCCGCGGTCTCTGCTCTTCGCACTGCATGTTGATGGCCCTCGCTCGTGGAGTTCCGTTGATTTGGACGTCGCGCGTCTCTTTTTCGCCGGTCTCTCGCAGTCTTCTGGTGCAGAGTCCACTGTCTTTTTCCTTCGTTTGGCTGAAGCTGTGTTAGGGTTGAGCACTTTCGAAGACACAAACATGCGAGAAGGTTCTCCATTTTTTGAACCATGACAGGATTCAAAGTTGTCGATACAGGATTCAGATGACATACTACACATGGAAGCCTTTTTTGAGAATATTGAGAAGAACTTGGCAGGGCGAGATTGCTCTTTGATGATAGAGTACTCCTCCCCAACACAGGAAGATTGCTCTTGGATGGTAGAGCCCTCCTCCTCAACACAGGGAGATTGCTCTTGGCAGGTAGAGCCCTCTTGCCCAGCACAGGGAGATTGTTCTTGGATGGTACAGCTTTCCTGCCCCAACACAGTCATCTTCAGATGAATACTCCACTGATTCTTTGGATTTTGAAAGGATTTTACTCCACACTCCCTTCTTTTTACTGGACTGCATCAAAATCTTGAAGGGGTTCAGAGATGATGTCTTGCTAGTGATGGATTGGGCTGTAGTCTCTTCACTTTTCAGTCCATACCCAGCATCCTGTTTTTGTTCCTTAGGAGTGACAGGTGTTACTGGACTTTCATTCTGCTGTTCATTACAAACATATTTGGAAGACGAGTCTCCATGCTCGCATACAACATCCAAAGATCGTTGAATTTGCATTCTCCATTTGTCCAGCAGCTTTTGGTTCTCTGATCAAACTTGTGCTGCTTTTGGAGCCCTTTTCTTTCTTTGCTGGTATTACTGAGACATCTTCAGTCTCATTTTCACTACCTGCCTGATTTACCCCACTTTTACTGTGGTCCTGGTCATCTTGTGAGCTGCCAAGAGCACATGCATTTTTCTCCAGTCCACCTTCAGTTGGCTTAACTTTTCTCTGGAAGTATTTGAATAGGGTCCCTGCTTGTGACTTTTGACTGGCAGATCCAACAGGCCCAACTTCTAAACAGGTTTCCATTTCCTTTTTACAGTCTTCCATAGCAAACTGTGCATCCCCAAACAGGCAGCATTATCTGTGGATAGAACAAATTAATATCTCAGACTACAGGAAAATGAAGGAAACAATCTAGCACTTTCATTTAATAATCATCCATCTTCTCAATGCCAAGCATGCTTTCACTGTTAGGCCTATTTCATAATGACTTGTGCATCAAATTATGAATTTTATACTGTACTTTAAAAGCTGCATTGTATAGTTCAAGACGGCTATCTCAAATTATTTCACCCACCCTGAGGGTACAAAATTATTCACAAACCTCATATTTTCGGAAAAGTACTTCAATGGGACATCACTTCATTCATCGTCCTTTTTATTCTGCTCTGACATTTTTATATCACTTTCACCTTAGCCTGCCTTTGTTATTTACAGGTTGATCTATACATCTTACATGCCTAACTGTCAAATCATGTTATCACATTTGCACATTTGCCACAAGATTGAGGCCAAATACAAGTTTGCCTTAACAAGGGCCTGAATTTTAGGATAAAAGCATTCTCCATACTTTTCTATTTGCATTAACTCAATTCTTCAGGCTGCAAAACTTATGCCATCAAAACTGCCACAGGTCATAAACAAGATCAAAAGCATGAAAGAGTTTCAGTAGGAAAACCATGCTCAGGATGAAGATAGGATGCATGTAGCAGATTGAATACTGGCCAAGTGGGCTGGCCAGCTGATGATCTGTAACAGTCTAGCCAGACTGTAAAATATGTTTTCTGTTAGGTTTAGACCATTTCTGTTGTAACACGGTTAGATGTCCAAATGTGGCATGAATTGACAGACTTCAGGGGTTTGTCCTAAAATTTCAACACACCAGATTTTTCCACTGACCCCGTGAAATCATATCTGCAATACTTGAGAAAATGGGTATTAAGGACAACACAAAATGCAGCGAAATACCAGATGAACCTCACGACCTGAGCTACAGAGAGTCATATCACTAACATCCCGGCTTAGTCCTAACTAGAAAGGCTCGATTTCTCAGTAAATAAGCAACGCGCATCCCCAACTCCCCACGCACACGCAACCCTGTACCGTGCGTTCTTGCGAGCAGGGTAACAGCACGCTACGGCCGCACCATCCATACACAACCAGCGCCACACATTATCAAACTGGAACACCAAGCCAAAACCACGGTTGTTACCGGACATCGAAACGCAACGCTAAATCAAAGATGCGCCGCTGCTTACTTCGCGCCATATTTCAGGTGATATGGAAGAGCCAAAATGCTTCCATATGAAATTCCAGGGAAAACCTTGCAATGTAGTAAATAAAGCTGCTTGGTACGAAAATAGGCACGAACTCTAATCTTAGACTAATTGAAAAACAAGCTTTATTTTGTCTTGTTAAAATTTATGAATTTTGCTAGTTTCTGTTCATTTTTTATGCTTGTTTCCTTCAATAACGCGAAGCCGAATGGGAGTTCCAGATCATTCTCTCTATACAATTCCGACGCAGGCAGCACGGAAGACGCCTTACCGGTAGGCACAGAATTTTTACAAGTAATTACATTAAATGACGTCATATATCTTCAAATCTCTTCAGCCATTCGCCTATTACCTCGAAAAATTCATGCCAGGATCTTTATTACGTCATTAACACAAAATACATATTGCTTCCGAGTTGTTCCACCTCGTGATTGCTCGTGACCGTCTACCCAAATTGTGTGGTTGGGAGTGACCGCGCGGTGAGGTTCCTCGTGGAAACGGGCGTCGTTGGAGAGGGTATTGGAGTACGTGTGACTAGTCAGTGATCTAGGTCTAAAGCTGTATATTCCATCAATCAAAGTGAATTATCCATCATCATGGTCCAACCTGCAAAGGCTGCCAAAATGAATCAGTCGTCAAACAAGCAAGCCGCATTCAAAGACAAGACGAAACCGGCGGAAATTAGAAGCAGCAGTATTACGGCCGCCAAAGGTACGCACGATTGGTGGTTTCCTAATATGTCTTTGCCTCGGCTCATTTTGTTTTCTGATATCTTGCACCCCTTTCCCCCAACTTGCTGGTGATAACCTGGCCTGGCTTAACCTCTTACCTGATTGCCTGATAACCTGGATTCTTCACCCATCCGCCAGGCCACTCTTCAGCATAGTGTTGCAAAAGGGTGCATCTGACTGGCCCTAATGATGTTTAAGATATGAGGAAAAAATGGCATGATTGGCCTTCATACTTACCAGGCACATTTGGGTGGAAACTATCCAAGCAACATCATACTTGAAACTTTAGCTCTTTGTGCTGAATATGCTTGGCCACACACCTGACTGAGGGCTCTTGGATTTATGGCATGCATGCACTGAAATGGTAATATGTGCCACACCTGTGCTGGATATGCTCTGGATAACTTATTTTTTGCAGTTTTATTGTTGTGCCAAGGGACCCCATACCCAGTGTTTGTAATGTATATAATAGCATATGCAACAGCAATGTGCCTTCTGTCTCATTACTTATTGAAAAATGCTGAGTTGGGAAATCATTGTGATTCTGACAGACTTTGAGCAGAGCAGAAGGGTTAATTAGTTATTCAGCGAATGTAGATTAGAAGATCAAGGAAATTTTGAAATCTTCATCAGGTCTTAAAATATTGTGCCTGTCCACAGTAGAGAAGACTACTATATCATTCTGGGTGGGGTCAGACCTGCCCCAGATATATAGATCACTGGTGTACCACCTTTTGCAGACTTGTACATCTATGCATCTGTACCCTGAGATTTCACTATGTTGACTGTATCAGTGTTAAATCAAATGTGGGGCTACACCCTGGCTCCTATGGTATGTGTACTTATGGATTGGGACATGATATTTATAATCCTCATTGTAATACTTTTCACACATTCCTCATAGGTAGATTTCATATAGAGAGTTAATCCCATACTCAGTTGACTAATTTAGCAATAAACTATCAGCACCATATTTTGCTCCTCTCCCATCTTGATATCTTTTTATAAAAATCATTTAAACCTTTGGGATAGATGGATTCCTGGAATCAGGGTTCATGCTAAGGCATGCTTGTTTTGTGCACCCAGACCCCTACCATTCACTCACATAATTTTAGGTCAACAGCAGAATTTTGTGGAAAAAGGTGGTAAAATTAAAGTATGCTGTTATGCTTGACTCTGTCTTGTCTGCCCCCTGATATCGACTTGCATTTAGCATGGCTGCTGCTATCAACTGCGGGTCATATATGTTTGTTGAGAGCAAATGCTATTATTTATATCACCATTAATATTGTCCTGTCATTGTATAAACAATGTACACAATGGAATGTTGGTAGATTGTTTGTGTTGAGTGTGGGATACTAATGGTTCCATTTTGAGGAATAAAATTTCAAATTTCATCATCTTGCATTGATCTTGTGTGATGTAAAAGTTGTTTTCTAGCATTGCCTTCCAATAAATGAACATACATTTCAGTGGTCACCTTGCTGGTATGATTGGACCAGTTCTCGAGCATAATGCTATGTTTTCTAAAAGCTTCCTAAAAAGCATCCTGGCATAGCATGGCACAGGCAAGAACAACCCAGCCCAGGTCAGGTCAGGCCTGGTCAGGTCAGGTCAGGTCAGGTCAGGTCAGGTCAGGCCAGGCCAGGCCAGGCCAGGCCAAGCCAGCCCTTTCCTGCCCTGCCCTGCCCTGCCCTGCCCTGCCCTGCCCTGCCCTGCCCTGCTCAACCCTGCTAGACCCAACAACATCTGCCCTTACCCACTTCCATAGAGTCTTTGCATGTCCTCCAGAATCACTTATCATGGGATGACAAAGGAAAGTAAGGATCATATGATTGCCTCTGTCTGCTCCAAACAATGGTAGCATTTACACTGCCTCTTGTTTGTTTGCAGCTGTTGCTGATGCCATCAGGACAAGCTTAGGACCAAAAGGAATGGATAAAATGGTAAGTGATGTCACTAACATTTGGTAGCTCCTCACATGGTATTTTTGGGATAGGTTTCAGCTAATTCTGATCTCTTTTGTACTTGATATATGTATAGAGAGATGATGCTTAACTTGAATGCACTTTCATAGTTATATGTGGATGTGTTTCATTCTGTATGATGGTTGCAAGCTTTCCACAAAACAAAGAATCTATTTAACATTGTGTCTCTCTCCAGATTCAAGAACCTAAAGGTGATGTAACAATCACAAATGATGGAGCAACAATCCTGCAACAAATGAAGCTAGCACACCCTGCAGGAAAAATGGTGAGTTTAAGAAAGGCTGATTGCTTAGTATGTCTCAGATGGCTTTGTCAGTCCTGGAACAGATACAGCATGTTTACTACTATGTTTCAGGTTTCTTTGTTAGTTAGGAACAAGGCAGCTGTGTTAAGCATACTGAAAGGAATTCACTGCTGAAGAACTGATCATCCTTGATGCAGCTGATCATGGTCATCCTGATGAAAATGACCATTCCTGATGATGATGGTGGAAGCTGACCATCCTTGATGTCCAATGCCATGCACAGTGTGTGATGCTGACCCACATGCCCTCCCCTTGATACCTGGTGCCATCAGCAGTGTGTGACACTGACCCACATGTCCTCCCCTCGATGCCCAGGTTTTAGCAGCATGTGATGCTGACCCACGTGTCCTACCCCGACGCCCGTTGCCATCAGCAGTGTGTGACGCTGATTCATGTGCCCTCCCCTTGATGCCTGGCACCATCAGCAGTGTGTGACGCTGACCTGTGTGTCCTACCCCGATGCCCGGTGCCATCAGCAGTGTGTGATACTGGCCCCATGTGTCCTCCCCTCGATGCCCAGGTTTTAGCAGTATGTGATGCTGACCCACATGCCATCCCCTTGATACCTGGTGCCATCAGCAGTGTGTGACACTGACCCACGTGTCCTCTCCTCGATGCCCAGGTTTTAGTAGCATGTGATGCTGACCCACGTGTCCTACCCCGACGCCCGTTGCCATCAGCAGTGTGTGACGCTGATTCACGTGCCCTCCCCTTGATGCCTGGCACCATCAGCAGTGTGTGACTGCTGACCTGTGTGTCCTACCCCGATGCCCGGTGCCATCAGCAGTGTGTGATACTGACCCATGTGTCCCCCCCTCGATGCCCAGGTTTCAGTTGCGTGTGATGCTGACCTGTGTGTCCTACCCCGATGCCCGGTGCCATCAGCAGTGTGTGACGCTGATTCACGTGCCCTCCCCTTGATGCCCTGGTGCCATCAGCAGTGTGTGACGCTGACCCGAGTGTTCTCAACTTGATGCCCAGTGCCATCAGCAGTGTGTGACGCTGACCCACGTGTCCTCCCCTTCGATGCCCGGTGCCAGCAGTGTGTGACGCTGACCCATGTGTCCTACCCTGACGCCAGTTGCCATCAGCAGTGTGTGACGCTGACCCACATGTCCTCCCCTTGATGCCTGGTGCCATCAGCAGTGTGTGACGCTGACCCACGTGCCCTTCCCTTGATGCCTGGTGCCATCAGCGGTGTGTGACGCTGACCCGTGTGTCCGCCGCCGTGCCAGCTGGTGGAGCTGTCGAAGGCGCAGGACGCCGAGGCCGGCGACGGCACCACGTCTGTGGTGATCCTGGCCGGAGCCCTGCTGGACGCCTCTCAGAAGCTGCTTGAGCGGGGCATCCACCCCACGGCCATCTCGGAGGCCTTCCAGGCGGCCGGCCAGAAGTGCACCGAGATCCTGTCCGATATGGCCACGCCCGTCGAGCTGTCGGACCGCGACAGCCTGCTGAAGTCGGCCGCCACCTCGCTCAACTCCAAGGTGGGTGCGGACCTGGAGCTGGGGTCGGACCGGAGCTAGAGCTGAACCCGGGACCGGACCAGAGCCGGACCCGGACCAGGGCCGGACTCGGACCCGGACCCGGACCCGGACCCGGACCCGGATCTGGTGCCGGATCTGGTGTCGGAGTAAGGAGTCAGTGTCGGAGTCGGAGCCGGACGGGGCCGTAGGCCGTCGGCCGCCGGCAGCCGGCAGCAGGGTACAGGCGCGGCGCCTGGCGGCCCTGAGGGGGCCAGACAATGATAGGCTGCAGGCGTATGTCGTATGATCACTCAACCCACTGCCGGTCCTTCCTGGGGTAGATTTAAAATGTCCTTATTCGCCAGCCACTCTGATGATGAGATTGAGCTGATGATCCCGCGGGCTGGTCTTAGACGCCTACGGGCCTGTGCCGCCTGCACTCGTGCTGACCCGATGGCGGTCGGTGTCCGTCTCAGGTTGTGCACCAGCACGCGGGGACGCTGGCCGCCACCTCTGTTGATGCCGTCCTCAGCGTCGTCGACCCGACCAAGGACACCAACGTCGACCTCAAGGTCAGTGTCGGCAGGTCGGCGGGTACGGTGGCCATGTGTCAGGAGCAAGTGATGCGTAAGGCTAGGCGGGCCAGTGCATCAGCCGTCCGGCGTTTGTTTTAGATTCGTGCACACTTCACCACACCAAGGTCCGCTTAGGTCATGTATGTGAGCACCCAAAGTACTGCTGGGAAGGTGTGCGTTGTCCTGCATGGTTCTTATCGTTGTGGTGGTCGTTCTTGAGAGGCTATGCTTTAACCTGTTGTGCTGCTGGTGGTGGCCGTCCTGGAGAGACCATGCTTTAACCTGTTGTGCTGCTGGTGGTGGCCGCCCTGGGGGTGCCATGCTGGGTTATGTGAGCGTCTGGCCTGAGTCCGACTCCACTAACGGCAACCTCGGCGTCTGGCGCAGGACATCAAGATCATGAAGCGGCTGGGCGGCGTGGTGGAGGACACGGAGCTGATAGACGGCGTGCTCTTCGACCAGAAGGGCGGCGGCTTTGGCGGCCCCACCCGCGTGGACAAGCCCAAGATCGGCCTCATCCAGTTCTGCATCTCGCCTCCCAAGACTGACGTGCGTTGGGCAGTGGCAGCGATCGCTGGTTGGCGCTTACGAGTATCGGTGCCGGTCTCACGTCTATTGATATCGAGGCAAATCAAAAATATTGACAATTCAGTTGAAATTGGGTCCAGTTAATGGTGCAACTAGAAATTATTGTGCAGGTGTCGAGCGCGAGCATGCATGGTGGAACGCAGCTAACTGTTGAACTGCTGCAAAGCTGACATAAAATTGTCATTTTCGAGTGCATCAACGTGTGTATGAGGGGTGACGATCTGGCCTGAGCACATTGATAGCACACTAGTGTGATACCAGCTGGTGGAGTCAGGCTGTGGCCGCTGTGTGTGCGCACAGCGCGCCTCCGGCGCTGCCCGTCCGTCTCTGTGACGCCTGACGCCACCGCTCCTTACCGACAGATGGACAACCAGGTGGTGGTGTCCGACTACGCGGCCATGGACCGCGTGCTGCGCGAGGAGCGCCAGTACCTGCTGAACATCGTCAAACAGATCAAAAAGGCCGGCTGTAATGTGCTGCTGGTGCAGAAGTCCATCCTCAGGTGAGCGGAGTGGAGCTGATGCCGGCCGGGCCAGCTTCGGCCAGGTCATGATGTGGAAGTCCATGACGGCGAAACAGAAATGCTTTCTGTTGCATTGCAGCGACAGCGAGATGCACTTGTGCATCCATTCACAGATGCGAGTGGCGGTAGTATCGTAGGGTAGCGCGTGCGGTTGTCTGGCCGTGCTGACTCCGCCCCGCCCCGGCTCCGGCCATCCCCGTTCCTCGCCTCGCCTCACCGCACCCCGCCCCGCTCCAGCCCGGCCCGGTGCGGTCGGTCGTCCCCGGTCCCCACCCCGCCCGCTGCCTGCCGTCCTGGTCTCGACCTCTCGCCGCTCCGCCTCTTGCCGCCCTGCCCTGCCCCGCCCCGGTGCCGGCCGGAGTGCGCCCGCCGTCGGCCGCCGCCCGTAACGCCGGGCTGCCGTCTCCCGTCGGCAGGGACGCCGTCAGCGACCTGGCGCACCACTTCCTGGCCAAGATGAAGATCATGGTGGTGAAGGACGTGGAGCGCGAGGACGTGGAGTACGTGTGCAAGAGCCTGAACATCCGGCCGGCGGCCTCGCTGGACCACTTCACGGCCGACGTGCTGGGCTCGGCCGAGCTGGCCGAGGAGACGCAGGCCGGGCCGAGCAAGATGGTCAAGGTGAGAGGCGCCGCCGCCGCCCAGTCGGACCCGGGCGGGCACCGGCCTGCGGCCCGTCACACTCGGGCTTGTTCTCTCGTATGACTGGCGCTCGCACGCTTCGGGGCCGTTGGGTCGCGTGCGTTAGACGGCGCCATGCGTATGAACTGTGTTCATTCCTTCGTGTCTGGTAAACGGCTGCCGTCCGAGGCCGTGCTGGAGGTCGCGCCCGCCGCCCGTGCGTCGTGTGCAGCGTTGACTGGCGGGTGCGCTGACGGGTGCCGCGTCTGCCTGGCCAGATCACGGGCATCCAGAACCGCGGCCGCACCGTCACTGTGCTGCTGCGCGGCAGCAACAAGCTGGTGCTGGAGGAGGCCGACCGCTCCCTGCACGACGCCCTCTGCGTTATCCGGTGCCTGGTCAAAAACAGGTCAGTCCGGCCGCAGCGGCCCGCGCTGAAGCCGCTGCTCACCGATGGTTGTGTCTGATCGCAGATAAGCCGGTGGTGGTGTGGTGCACACGCGGCGCACCGGGCCGGACCGGTTTGGTCCTGCGTGAACTGGCTGTTACACCCGGCCTGCTAGAGTTGACTGTGCCACTTGTTAAGTATCGTACCCGTCGCACCTGCGCCGCTTACTTGTAACTGGCGGTGATTTATTTCAGACTCTGTGACATGTATGGATGCCGGTCTGGGTGCGCTGGGTAAAATAGTGTGTAGTGCACATCTGGAGCACAGCTTTGATTAACTGAACATCTTTCCCTATTGTGATCCACATCTTTGAGGTCCAGCACGATTTTGTCCCCGCGTTCGTTAGTGTCAACTGATTTTCGTCTGACATCAGACATCTGGTATGGTATGGTATAGTATGGGACATCTGGTAACTGACAGGGCACAGCGGCATCCTGGTGCCATGCCGTGCTGGTCGGCGCCGTCCCCTGACCTGACCTGACCTGACCTGGGCTGTTCTCCGCTGGCCAGGGCGCTGATCGCGGGCGGCGGCGCGCCAGAGATGGAGATGACGCTGCGTCTCTCCGAGTTCTCGCACTCTCTCACCGGCGTGGAAGCCTACTGTTTCCGGGCGTTCGCCGAGGCCATGGAGATCATCCCGTACACGCTGGCCGAGAACGCCGGCCTCAACCCGATCGCCACCGTCACCGAGCTGCGCAACCGACACGCCAAGGGCGAGAAGGTCAGGGGCCGGCCGGACAGACGGCGCAGTGGCAGGCGGCAGGCGGCAGGCGGCGCCGGCAGGTGGAGAACGTGAGAGTTTAGTGTCATGCGCCGACAGGCTGAGCACATGAGGGGACGGTTGGGTACCGGAGGGCCAGAAGGTTAGCGTCTGGAGTAGGGCAGTTACAGGGCAGGCGGAGTGACAGGTGGCACCGAGGCAAGGAGCTGTCTTTTCGAGCTTCCTGTCGTGGGGCTGCCGGTGAGCCGTTCCTGACGTCCGCTGTGTCCGATGATTCGTTCCTGACGTCCGGTGTGTCCGGTGAGCCATTCCTGACGTCCGCTATGTCCGATGATTCGTTCCTGACATCCGGTGTATCCGACAAGTCGTCCCTGACGTCCGGTGTGTCCGGTGAGCCGTCCCTGACGTCTGGTGTGTCCGGCGAGCCGTCCATGATACCCTGTTCTCCCGTCGCACAGAACGCTGGCATCAACGTGCGACGTGGCAAGATCACCAACATCTTGGAGGAGAACGTGGTCCAGCCGCTGCTGGTGTCCGTGTCGGCCATCACGCTGGCCGCCGAGACCGTCTGCTCCATACTCAAGATCGACGACGTGGTCAGTTGACGGCCGGTGCCGCCGCGTACCAGCACGCTCTGGCGGCGCGTCGTGGCAGGCAGCCGAGTGTGGTGCTGCCCTGTGTCCATATCTGAGCGATCGCGTGGCCCCAGCTGGCATGGAGCGCATCTGAACGGCCGTGGACGGGGGCCGAGCGGTATTGAGAAACGAGAGAATGGATACTTCCATGTAGAACAGCATTCTCCTGTCCCTCCAGTTGCCAGCGTGCCACAGCGTCCACTGCTATGTTCGGACCCCGGTGATGCTAATGGACGCGTCTGTTTTCAGATCAACGTGGTCAACTGAGGCGTGGCCGGAGCTGCTGCCGTGGCTGCTGGCGTCGCCGACTCCACCCATGTTGCCGTGTGATTCGTCGCCTCTGTTGGGGCCGCACGGCGCCCTAACCGGCCCGTATTGATTAACGTTACTCTTTCTGCACGTCATCGCGCGCTGTCCTTAATACAGTGTAACACACTACGCTGACTTTGTGCGACGGCCTGGTGGCCCCACCGCTCCACGCTGGTGGTCTGTAGTTTGTCGGTCTGTGGAGTTTTCGGTCATGCGGCGTACTTTGCACACAGTGTTGGTCGTAGACGTCTTGTTGACAATTTTACAAAGTGCATACCCAAGAATTATTCGCGTTGAGTGGCAAGGCTCTGCCGTTACGCAATTAAAGTCTCGGGAAAGCGAGTGCCGAATTCCTTCGAAATATGTAGCTGCCATTGTTTGCTGGTGAGTAGCTGGGAGGCCTGCCCTCCACTCGCCAGTCTGTGGCCACGTCCCACACCGATGGAGCACACTCGCCTCTGTATCCTCTATTCGCTGTGCGCTGCCTCCCCGCAGCGTTGGTTCATCCGGGGCAGGCTGCACATGCCGGTCGTGCCTGCCAGCTCTAGCGTACCCTGGCGCGGGTCCCGCTCGAACGCCGAGCACAGGTCCCGAGGGGCTCCATGGGCGGCTTTAGTCTCGGTGGTCGCGGATGGACCGCTCAGGTGCATGTACTGCTGACCTACCGCTATTCACTCCCCTTTATCCATAGCCCTGAAGTGGTCATGAAGGGTCGAAAGGGCTCTGTCCAAACGATCGGACTACGAAGGGCGTGTCCCAGACACCCCGTAGTTTTTGTTTCGTCGGGGACACTTTTTGACTCGAAATAACGTTGCCACAGCGCTAAAATAACAGAACCGCCTCAACGCTGCAAGGTCGTCGTGTTTCCGGGCTCATATGTTCGCTGCATGACGACACAACATACGGTGCTCCGCTAATGGGCCGTGAGGGGCGCCCCAGTCCCCCGTTCGTGACTGGACAGGCTGGAGCGAGGCGTTAGTCAGGCCGGGCGGCCGGGGTGAGACCGCCGTACAGTGGCGGCGGCGACGCGGGTCAGAGCGGCCGCAGCCCGTAACCTAACCCCAGCCGGAGACGCAGCCGGCGGGCGCGGTGTCTGCCGGCCACCTGAGCCGCGGCTAGAGGACCGCAGCCTGTCGCCTGTGACGCGGGAGCACCCGGCCAGACGCTCTGGACGTCGCCACTGCCCCGGCCGCCGCTGCCGTGTCCTGCAGTCAGCAGGCCGCTGCCGTGCCGTGCGAGGACGAGGAGAGTGATGAAGCCAGCGGGCCGAGTTCCCAGACGTGGCACGCGGGCCCCGTCCCAGCACCCGACTCTGGAGCCGGCACTGGAAACGTCGGCAATGCCGCGCAGGTGGGACGGACATTCGTGCCTACTGGGTGTGGCACGGGACGCGAGCAGCTGGGTGTGGCGCCGTCCGACACGAGCTGCTGGGGAGCTGCTGGGGGTAGCGCCGTCCGACACGAGCTGCTGGGGCTCGTGTCGGGCTGCTGAGCTGCCGTCTGACACGAGCTGTCCGGTAGGCGACTTCCTTTCATGTACGGTCTTCTGTAGTACCCGGCCAGAGCCATCAACGGGTACTTTCTGCCCTTTGTGATTATTGTTATGCTTTCTTTTGGTTGTGTGCGTATGAGGTACGCCACACCGTCGCAGCCCAATGCCTGTACAAACACATCAAATGCTCCTTGCCCTTTCAAACCTTTGAGCCGCCACTTCATGCAAATCCACGTGCCGGAACGGTACACGGATTTGCGCGACTCCCCAGAGGCTGGGAGCCTCGGATAGACGGGTCAGTCGGCGGACGACTCCCCAGAGGCTGTGAGCCTCGGATAGGCGGGCCAGTCGGCGGACGGTGCAGTGCATAGCAGCTCCGCGCTACTGGGAATCCGTAAGTAGGCGCTTGTGGAGAGATAAGAATGAAATCTGGCTCAGGGAGTGATGATTTTCTGGTTATAAACCTTGCACTCTTACGTGAAGGTCCAAGATCGATCACGGTTACGTCATTACTCGGAGCCCGGGATTTGGCCGTGCTACACACTGCGTAAAATGGTGTGTGAAAACGCTTCACCCGAGTCCGTCCTGTAAAAAACGAGACAAGTGCGGTGTCCCGGCCGGCAGTCTCGGTCACCGCGCGGCTGAATTTAGTCACGCTAGCATTGATCCCTGTTTGGGCGTCTGGTCAGGAGGAAGCGGCAGATGCCCGCTTAACGCAAATGATGTCAGCCAGCGATCGCCCGTGACGGGGGAGGGGGGACCACTTCTCCCGAGTTCCAGGAAAAACTTCAGGACCATGCAAGGATACGCGCACCATACTTGTAGCATCAAATAGATCGTTAATTTCACACACTGGGGGCGTTTTTTTCTATTGCGGCGGAGTCCGCAAACTATGTGCGCGTGCACTATAAAACTCAAATCCATGAACTGAATAGGACAATTCCCAATCGCCGGAAGCTTCTCTTCCACTCGGCTTCACATCTTGGTGCACTACCCGCCTCCCTACACTGATACACATGATTTGCATTCCGTATTCGCGTTCCACCAGGATATCGACCTAAGAACCGTTTCGTCAGCTCCAGGATTACTGCACTAGGTTGCCATGACCTTGAGGGCTTGGCGTGATATGTTCTCTGCGGGCAATCCGTGATCTACAGCTCGATGACAGACTGATGGCAGAACTATAATAACACGCAATAGTTTTTTTTCTTATGCATGCTAATTCGATTGCGAATCTGCGATGTTGTTTTTTGGTCATCTTATCGATTGATCTGTGCCTTAATGACCCCAGGGTCATCCATAAATTACAGTACGCCTGAACGGAACGGAAATGAGCTGTTGCTCAAGTGCAACAAGGATCTGGAGCTGGGAAGATGACGGTTTCCGTTGCTCCTTAACGCCACGCTCGGGTGGGGGGTGAAGCTCGCTAAATGAGTTGGAAAGGGGTCGAACAATGAAAAATTGTCAATCTCGGAATGCTAACAACCCTCTTAAAACACGCGAACAGACGGGTTTCTGCACAGATTTTACCTAGTATCTTCTCAGAGTTGGGGAAGGGGCTTAAGTCCGAAGCTTTCCTTCCCCCCCCCCAGCTGAAAAGCAACCACACCCAACCGCTGGGGATGCGGTAGCAAGTAGGGGGGGGGGGGGGCGGCCAAAGGAGAGGGAGGGCAGCCTCCTTATGCGCTATTTTTGCGTGTTTTACCATAATTTTGTGCAACAGACGACAAAAACAGCCATGATATACATTCACCGAGCCCGGAGAACTCTGAAGAGAATCCTGACTGCCGGGGCTGCGCCTCTGTTACAAAACAGGCCATTTTTTCGGAATAACTTTTAACAGCGTAACCAAGAGAAGAGAGATTCTGCCGAGCGTAGCCAGTGCGTAACCGGAGACGGGCTAAAGAGTTGCCCCCCCCCCCCCCCTCCACTGCCCCCAAATGTAACGCATAGACGAACGGCCCCTAGAACAAAACAAAGGCTGTTTACCGATGTTAAGCGTTATTGAAGGATGTTTTCGATCAGCTGGCTCGCCTTTGTTTTGTTTTTGTCGTTTTCAAGGACGTCGCTGTTGTGCAGCTGGACGGGCGTGTGTTGCTGCCCGAGTTTCAAGAGAAAATTGGCGTTGATCCAGTTGTCTTGACGCCTTTGCTATTGAGTCGGCCAGGTTGGTTTATGGAAACGCTCTTTAGCTGGCGATGTAGGTCATGGCTCGTAATTGTAACTGAAACTGAAACTCGGACATCGGGGTAACTGCGCCATAGCCTGTTCGGTAATTTTTTACTTGGGTACCTGTATGGCCGACGGAGGGAAGAGCTACGCTAGCTGCAGGGTTTCGAGTATTGTCGTGTGGGGCAAAAGCTGTGAGGCATCAGCTAACATTGTGACGTCACTGAAAATGGTTTTGCATCGATCGGGATCGGGGTTCTTTCGGGCCGACTGAAGGCCATAAGGCTTTTGCTTGTGATATGATGTCACTGGTATTCGGCTGGGTATGTGACGTCACTGGTCGTGAGTGTGTAAGGCTCTTTTGGGTCCACTGAATGCCGTAATGCATCAGCTGACCATGTGTCGTCACTGGTATTCGATTGGACATCAGGCGCGGCCGACCTCGTTCCATCTTTACTTTTCGTACCTGTCTGCTGCAAGCATTTGCGTGCCGCATAAAGGTTTGACCGAATTACCCCAATGTGGTGACATCCCTAACCATCACTTCATACGAGTGCACTTAGGCCCCACGACCACGGTGTGTCGTGGTCCGCGAAGTATCACCGGATAGCGTGACGTCACTGGTATTCGAATAAATACTGGGCGCAACAGGCCGTGCTTCATTTTTACCTTTGTACTTGTCTACTGCAAGCATTGGCGTGCTGGATGAAAGCTGCCGAACCACCTGAGTGTGTGACATCACTGGCCATGAGTTCCAACGGTTGCTTTTCGGCCAACTGAAGACCGCAAGGTGTCAGCTAGCGACGCTCACTGCTATACGACTGTAAGACGTCAATGGCTGTGGGTTTCCACGGGACCTATAGGACCGACGAAATGCCGTTAGGTATCAGCTGGCGATATGACGTCACTGGTATTTGGCTGAACATCAGGCAACAGGTCATGCCCCCATTTATACCTTTCGTACATGTCTGCTGCAAGTATTGGCGGATTTTTTGTGCGGCCAACTAAAGACCATAAAGCATCAGCTAACGATGTGACGTCGCTGGCACTCGACTGTGCGTGTCGCTGGTCATGAGGTTTTACGGCCTCTTTTGGGCCGACGAAAGGTCATACGGCAATGACTGAAGATGTGACGTCACTGGTATTCGAATGAACTTCGGGCGCGACAGACATGTTCCACCTTTATCTTTGGTACCTGTCCATTGCAGGCATTGCCGTGGAAGGCTCTGCCAAATTACCTGAGTGTGTACGTCACTGACCATTAATTTGCACACTCTTTTGAGCCTACTATAGGCCACAAGGCATCAGCTGACGATATGATGTCACTGGGTTTCGACTAGACATCATGCGCAAACAGGCCATGCTCCATCTAAGCCATGTTTCGTCTGTACCTTTCGCACCTATCTACTGCAAGTATTCGCGCGACACAGGGGCTCCGCCGAATTACCTGAGCGTGTGGTGTAACTAGTTATGAGTTAACGCGGGTTTTACTCTGGCTGAATGAAGGACAATCAAGCATCAGCTGACGATATATGACGTCACTGGTATTCGACTAAACTCCAGGCGCGACAGGCCATGTTCCATCTTTACCTTTCGTACCTGTCTCTTGGAAGTATGGGCGTGCTGAATGAAGGCTCTGTCGGGTCCTCCTGAGTAAGTAACGTCACTGGTCAAGAGCTTTTTACGGGACCTTTTGTACCCCCAAACGGTAAAATGCATCAGCTGATGATATGACGTCACTGGTGTCCGACTTAACAATCAGGCGCGACAGGCCATGTTCTATCTTACCTTTCGTACCCGTCTATTACAAGTATTGACGTGCTGAATGAAGGCTCTGTCGAGTCTCCTGGGTGTGTAACGTTACTGGTCATGAGTTTTTTTTCTGGCTCCTTGGAACCCTCTATAGGGAAAATTCATCAGTTGACGACATGATGTCAATGGTGTTCGACTTAACATGAGGCGTAACAGGTCATGTTCCATCTATGCCTTTCGTACCTGTTAAGTATTGGTGCGTTAAATGATGGCTCTGCCGAGTCACCCTGAGTGTGCGACGTCACTGGTCATGAATTTTTACCGACTATTTTTGGCTGAGCGAAAGCCATAAGGCATCAGCTAACGAAATGACGTCACTGGTAATCCACTGAGTGTGTGACGTCACTGGTCATGGGCTTTTACGGGCCTTTTTGCCGAGTTCAGGTCATTAGGCAGTCAGATAACGTTATGGCGTCACTTGTATTCGAATTAACATCAGTTGCAATAAGCCATGTTCATCTTTACCTTTTGCACCTGCCTACTGCAAGATTCGTGCGCTACAAAAAGGCTCTGTCGATTCGCCTGAGCGTGTGGTGTAACTGGGCCATGAGTTTGTGGCAGGTTTACTCGGGCTGACTGACGGACATCAAGCATCAGCTGACGATATGACGTCACTGGTAATCGACTAAACTCCAGACGAATGATCTGAGTGGGTGACGTCGCTGGTCATGAGTTCATACGGATTCACTTGGGCCGCCCAAGGCCACAAAGCAACACCTGCCGTGAAGCATCACAGGATGATATGTCGTCACTGTTATTCGACTTAACATCAGGTCCAACATGCCACGTACTTCTTTACCTTTTGTGCTTGTTTATTAAAGGTATTGACGTGCTGAATGAAGGCTCCGTCGAATCTCCTGAGTGTGTGACGTCACTTG